CAGTTAAGGATGAGAAAAGATGAACACGAATAAGAAAAAATATACATTGCTCCTGTCTCTTCCCGTGCCAGTCAGAGAAAGGAACAGTTCTCTTGATTTTTATTCATTTTGCCCTACATGTGAATCACACATTAAATGATATTGACCAATCAAAGCCAAGGCTAAAAATGGAAAGCAAAACAAGTTGAGTTCCAATGCATAGGCAATAAATGACCAGTAGTCTTAGAAACATTCACTTGAATCTTTTAACTAACAAAAATCAGAGCACTAAAATCTGCAGCAGACACAAACTACAAGTATACATGCCTCCTATTTAAAAAAAAAAAAAAAAAAAAAAGAAGCTAACATTAGCTACAAAATCACCTGCTGTGTTGAAAACGTAGCAAAGTCAGGAAGATCAGCGTCAGGGTGCGCGGTATGCCCTAGGAGATCGTCCAGGTCCAGGTCGCGCAGGTCAAAGTCATCCAGGTGGCGCCGAGAGAGGGGGTGCTGGTAGTTGCCTGTGCCAATGGGCGAGCAGGTGGAAGCGGAGATGGGTGTCGTAGGGGCAGGATGGGGACAGTAGTGGTGGTGGAGGAGGGAAAGGAGGGTGTGCGCATAGGTGGGTCCTGGGATGCCACGCTCCTCCAGTTCCCCACACAGCCACTCCACCACCAGTGATGGCGCCCACTCACACCGTACAAGCTTCATAACAACTGTGGAGGTTTACCATGGGTTAGGGTGTAAGTTTCTGGGAGTTTGTGGCTTTTGATTCATAATATAAAGCTAATTAGCCATACAGAAATTTATCATTATTTTAAGATAACAGAGTAAAACAATCTAAAATGTTTTATATCCCTTCCTATTACTAATAACTATCTTCACTGAACCTTAGAAAGATCTAATGATATTTCCTTTTACCATTTTGAATACTAATCAGAGTGTACAATAAAATCACAAATCCAATAAAACTGTTGTGAGTCTTATTCCTTGTGAAATGTATTACAACAAAGACAGACAAAAAATATTCAACTGCATCACCTTGATTACACTTCAGGGGACCCACCTTAAACAGTGCTGGGTCTTGGATAATTTTTGTCGTTATCATGTCGTCATCGAAATGATATCACATATAGGCGGGTTTTGGGGGGGGGAGGGGTTGGAGCTTACTAGTATAAATGGTAAATGAGGTTTAAGGATTTGGAATTTAGGAACCACTAAAACACAGTTATCAAAAATGGTATTATAAGACAGAGGGAAACCAAGCTAAGTAGATGCACTGTGGGGGCTGGGGGAGAGGTGGTGGTAAATCAAAGGCCAAAAGGAGTAAATATCCCCAAAATTAAATTTGAAGGAAGGAAGGAAAAAAAGAAAAAAAGAAAAAAGAAAATGTATATTCTTAGAGTTTGGGCATGATGAGATGATGGGTAAAGTTCTCAATCTAGAGCCTTAGAACACAGGCTCTAGACGAGAGAGTGCTCTTTCTGTGGCTAGGGAGAGTCAAAAGCTCCACTCTTTGCTGAAACCACCAAAGGGGCCTTATTATTAACAAAAAAGGACAAGGCTACAAGCGATGATGTAGCACAACCTTCCCAGTGGATTCTGAAGGGGGTGTGTGGGTAAAGAGAAAGGGGGTATTATCATCAAAAACCAAAAGACTATCAAGTAATGAAGGCCTTTGCAAAGTTATGATTGTTAATTGTACAAACTGGTTACTTCTTTTCCTGAGCCTTTTATGTATGTATATATATATGTGTATATATATATAGATAATGGATGTATGAGGAAAACGTGCAAACTTTGTATAGTAGAGCAACAATAGGTCACAGCAGGTCGAGTATAAAGTTACCAAGAGAACTAGTGGGGGGATGGGGCTGTGGATGAGGGGAGGAGGAGGGAAGAGAAGGAGAAAGCCAGCTATAGGGTGGTGACGTGGCAAGGATAGGTTGATGGAAAAGAAAACAATAGAGACAGGCTGATAGAAGTATGAGAGGGAGATAGGGAGAGAGAGAGAGAGAGGAGAGAGAGAAGAGAGAGAGAGGGGAGAGAGAGAGAGAGAGGAGAGAGAGAGGGAGAGAGAGAGAGAGGAGAGGGGAGGGAGAGAGAGAGAGAGAGAGAGAGAGAGAGAGAGAGAGAGAGAGAGAGAGAGAGGAGAGAGAAGAGAGAGAGAGAGAGAGAGAGAGAGAGAGAGAGAGAGAGAGAGAGAGAGAGAGAGAGAGAGAGAGCGCGAGCGAGCGCCAGAGAGAGCCGGAACCCCACGTGTAACACACGCTTGGCGACGGCGTCCAGCTCCTAATACAATGACGCGATGTTGGCCGACGAACCAAGAATACTTTGTCGCGGTGCCATCCCGGCCGATGCCAAAAGCCACACACACACACACACGCACACACACACAAACGCGCGTCTACCACATCACAAGGGAGCTGGGGGATGGAAAAAGGGGGAGGGGAGAGGAAAGAAGGGGGAGCGGGGAAAGAGAGACTGCCCAGTGACATTCAGCAAAAATTGTTATTCGCAGCCCGCTCGCGCTCGAGGACAGTAGGTTGGGGGGTCGAGACGCTGCATCCAAACATCGACCAAAGCAACATCCGGTCTGCCATTTTGCAATCCGCAGAAAAGGGGGAAGTTGGATAACACCCTATAAGTCCTTAACATTTTCACACTTTTCTTGCAATATTGGCAATTATAAGAAGATATTTACCCACTGATTGGATACGAGGAAAGGAGAAGAAAGGGGAAACAGGGAGGGAGTTACAGGGAAAAGAGGAAGGATCTGGGAAGGATGCAAGAAATGGGGGAGGGGGAGGGAGGAAGGGGCAGAAATTGAGGGGAAAGTGGGGGAAAAGGATACAGGAAAGGATGCAAACCTGGAATGGAGTAAGGAGAGGGGAAGAAGGGGGTAAAGGTCAGGTAAAGAAAAAGAAAAAAAGGGAAGGAGCGGGTGGAGTAGAGTGAAAGGGGGAGGAAAGGAGGAAGGAGAGGAGGGCAGGGGGAGCAAGGAGAAGGATGTAGGGAAAGAAGGAAGGAGAGGAAGCGGAGAAAGGCGAGGGAAGGAGGAAAAGGGGAAGCGACGACAGAGGAAGGAAGGAGGGAAGGAGGCAGGGAGGGGGAGCTCATTCTGGTGCAACAAGCAGTGAAAGTTCCACGGCTTGGAAGAACCCCAGCTCACCTGATCTCACCTGATCTTCACTTCCGAAGGCCACTGAAAATGCCGACGAGAGTCAGAAACAAGGAGAAAAAAATCGAGACGAGTTACATGAATTAGGGAGAAAATGACGGAGGAGAGGAAGAGAGAAAAGAGGAGAAAAGGAAGGGAGCAGAAAGGAACGGAAGAGAGGGAAGACGCTGAGAGAGAGAGAGAGAGAGAGAGAGAGAGAGAGAGAGAGAGAAGAGAGAGAGAGAGAGAGAGAGAGAGAGAGAGAGAGAGAGAGAGAGAGAGAGAGAGAGAGAGGGGGGGGGGGCTTGATGGAACGAGAAAGGAAGAGAGCGAGGGACGGAGGGAGGGTAGGGGGAGGGTGAAAGGGGTCACGGTTGGCTCAACCTTCAACACTGCTTTGGGGGGGTTGCGGTGGGGGTCGCAGTCGGTGGAGGAGGGGGGGAGAGGACGGAGGGGTGGGGGGGGGAGGAAGACAGAGAGAAGACAAGAGAGAATCGAGAGAGAGGCGGCGACACCGCGGAGGTCCAGTGCCTCTCCACCCTCGCGCCTCGGGGTGTAAGAATCCGCAACTCCGAACTTCATAAAAAACAAACATGCAAAATCCGACATCCGCGCGAAGGAAACGCCGACGATGAGCGGTCCCGGCATCCGAAAGGCGATTATCGAACCCCGGAAGCTTAGAGAAGGGGAGGGGGGGAAGGGGGAAGGGGGGGAGGGGAAGGGGGGAAGGGGGGAGGGTGAAGGGGAAGGAAGGAAGGGGTGTGGTGAGGTGGGGTAAAGGTACGGGTGATAGTGATCAGGTGGGTGATGGCGGTGAGGTGGGGGGGGGGGGGGGTGATGGTGGTGATGCGGGGGGTGATGTGGTGGTGGTGGGGGGTGGGTGATGGAGATGAATACGGGGGTGGTGGGGTGATGGAGATGTGGTGGAGGTGGAGTGATGTGGTGGGGAAGGGGTGGGGGTGATGGCAGTGAGGAGGGTGGGGGTAATGGTGATGTGGCGGGGGTGGGAGTGATAGTGACCGCGCGGGGGTGAAGCATGTTTCGTGATACTTATGAGTCAGGCATGCGAAATTCCATGACGTCTGCATGACCACGCGAGTTCCCTCCGCCTCAACGTGCCCGGCAACAGGTACAAATGGTAAACAAGAAGCAAACCTGGATGGATAAAGGCCCAACCAAGTCTCGGGAAAAACAAAAGAGGAACAAACAAGTATAGGACGACAAAACAAACAAACAAACAACAAACAAACGGGTATGATGAGCAAAACATGGTATAAAAAATAAAATACAAATATAAATAAATCGATATAGCAAAGAGGGCAGCAACCCGGTATAGGAATGGGGTGGGGTGTGGGATATAGGAAGGAAGGGGGAACCAATATAGGAAGGGGGGGGCAAATAAATCCCCCCTCCCCTCTCCTTCTCCTCCCTCCCTCCTCCTTCCTAGGGCCTCCAACCCTCCTCAGTAGGATCCCGGCGCGAAACAAGAGTCCCGCACCATGAGGCACGCGCATAGGCCGACCTTGACTCCCCGCGCGCCACCTGCCAAATGGCAAGGAGCCCTCTGCCAGCGGGCGGGCGGGCGGGCGGGCAGGGGAGGGCGCGGACACCAGGCCAACACGCACCCTCGGCCACGCGAAGGGCAGGGCGGGGCTGGCACTGGGGACAACGACGACGAAGGAAGGAAGGAAGGAAGGAAGGAAGGGAGGGAGAGGGGGGGGAGAGAGAGAGAGAGGGAGAGAGAGAGAGGAGAGAGAGAGAGAGAGGGGAGAGAGGAGGGGAGGAGAGGAGAAGAGAGAGAGAGAGAGAGAGAGAGAGAGAGAGAGGAGAGAGAGAGAGAGAGAGAGAGAGAGAGAGAGAGAGAGAGAGAGAGAGAGAGAGAGAGAGAGTGAAAAGAAGACAAATTTGCATTGCAATAAAATGGGAAGAAGGGGGCGAAGAAATTGCAATGAAGTGGGGGCAGGGGGGGCAAGAAAATGCAACACAACGGGGGAGGGGGCGTAAGAAATTGCAATGCAGTAAGGGGGAAAGGGAGGGAAGGAAGGGGGAGGGGAAGATTCACAGAACCGGAGGGAAATGCAATAAAACCTTACAGGTGCGCACTGCAACGCTCTCTCGGCGGGTGTGGAAAATGCCTGACTGGGAAAAAAAAAGCAAACACAGCATCCAACATTCTGTGACACTAACACGCAAAAGATATCGGATAAACAACCAAACAAATATATATATTCTTCGTCTAAAAGGACACATTAGAAAAAGAAAACATACGCTCGTGTCTCGAGAGTTTTAGAAGCCCAACTAACAAAGAAAAATGACATATGCATAACAAATAACAATAACAAAGATAAGCACTCACTCAAGAATACACTCACACAACCCCCCTCCCCCCAAAAAAAAAGTAAATAAAAAATACATAAATATAAATCAAATAGAGACGTAGAATCTTTTCAGCACTTTACACTTCGTTCCCATTAAGAAATCCTGATGCGCTGTACGTTCTCGCTCCATCGTATCCTTGGGTCCTGGCGTACACTACCTGGAAGGCCATTCCCCGCGCCCAATATCTAGGCTACCCGTACCCTTAGGAACTATTATAAAAAAGGGACCTAGAAAATGAAGATGCTTCCCGGGAGAAATCAGAGAGAGAGAGAGAGAGAGAGAGAGAGAGAGAGAGAGAGAGAGAGAGAGAGAGAGAGAGGAGAGAGAGAGAGAGAAGAGAGAGAGAGAGAGAGAGAGAGAGAGAGAGAAGGGGGGAGGGGGAGAAAAGAGAAAGGTGGCAAATGTCTATGGAAAATTCCCAACAACATTTCCCATTTGGGGTGCCACCTGAAAATTGTGTCTAACAAAGAACTGCATGCGATACCAGCTGGTGTCTAAAACAAAGGTCTGCTTGCGGCAGCAGCTGCAATGTCTAAAACAAAGGATTTCTTGGAGTACCAGCTGAAGTGTCTAAAACAAAGGTCTGCTTGCGGCAGCAGCTGAAATGTCTAAAACAAAGGATTTCTTGGAGTACCAGCTGAAGTGTCTAAAACAAAGGTCTGCTTGGGTGCCAGCTGATGTGTCTAAAACAAAGGACTTCTTGCAGTACCACCTGAAGTGTCAAAACGAAAGGACTGCTTGGGGCACCAGCTGAAATGTGTGTCTAACAAAGAACTGCTTCGGGAATCAGCTGAAAAGTGACTGAAACAAAGAACTACTTGGGGCACCAGCTGAAAAGTGTGTTTAACAAAGAAATGTTTGGGGTACAAGCTGATGTGTCTAAAACAAAAGACTGCTTGCGGTACCAGCTGAAAAGTGTCTGAAACAAAGGACTACTTGGGGTACCAGCTGAAAAGCATCAAACAAAGGACTACTTGAGGATGTACGACTAACAAAGAATTTATCAGGGGTTATGTGGTAAACAAAGGCACTGAGGTGGGTGTTTAGTTAACAAGGAAAATGTTTGGGAATACATGTCCAGAAATATTTCTTGGGGCACGATGGGTTTACAAAGGATGATCTGGAGATCATCTTACAAGAAAAAAAGAGTTTAATATCCAACATTTGTCTGGAGACGCCTGGTGAACAAAGATGTCTGGGTAACAAAGAATTGACAGAGCAGACCAAGTCCCTACGACAAAGAAACCTAGAGGAATGTCTGCCATACAAAGGCCTCTCTGGCCGTCCCTAACAAAAAACAAACAATTCGATGACAAAACGACTAAAAAAGTAGGTCAACATCAGATCTTTGTCAAACCATCCATCTATTTTCAGAAACAAACAAACAAACAAACACACACTCCCCTACCCACC